ATAATTCAAAACAATAATTCCAAAGCCCTCTTCTCCCTTAATTTGTTATTAACTTTCTAAAAGCTTTATATTAAGCACCTTTCACTGAATAGTCCAAAAAAATAATATATTTTTAAAACTTTTGAAATCAAATTTATACCGTCATGGAGGCAGAAACTCACCTAATAAATGCAAGAAAACCTGACTAGTCTTAATTTCTCCAATATGAAAAAAAATCCAAAAAGTAATTAAGATATAAGCTTTGGTCAAGCAGTCTGTAAAGTCTGTTTTGTAAATGTGGGTTGATGCATACCTACTCTCAGCCACCCTACTCATAAGCTGACCATAAAAAGAGAAGTTTCCACAGTCTACTCATGAGGAGTCACTGTTTGGAGTCACATGGATGACCTCAATGATCTCTCCTTTGTTCTGGGGTGATTATGCCTGCTTCAATCCAGCATCAAGCGGTAATTCCCTTCTCAAAACCTGTCTTGCTAGCCAACAAAAGCCAGCAAGATATCAGCTCACCATCGGGTTTTCAGGAATGTCCTAAACTGTTATATCCAATGATTTGAAAACTAGATTTCTGATGATGCAGTCTAAAATTGGATTTGCCTTTTTTACATACACATCTATTTAAGAAATGAGTCCAATTCAGTGCTGACTCATATTCAATTTGTAATCGCTCACTCTTTTTCACAAATATCCAGCCAGATATCTTTTATGTTGTATCTCTACACTTAATTTTTTGCTTCTTACAATCTTTGTACTATTGTACTTTGTACTCCCCTGTGTTAAATTTCATTGTTACTTTCAGTCCATTTCTTTAACTTTTAAAATTTATTTGGATTTTATTTGAATTTAATTCTGTGTAAATCTTTCAAGTATATATTTGAAAATCTTCACCTCATGACACAATTAAATATCAATACCTAATATTGCCTATGGCAAATATTTACCTGGCTACATTACCAATTTGTGTGTTTGTGGTAATGAAGAAGTGTGGGCAGAAATCTACCATAATAGAACAGCCTGACCTTGAGAAGTGACTTCAAAATCTGTCCTTTCTTTTCATGGATTAAATTTGGGATTCCTAATTATTTCTTTCTGCCTATGTATACATTTCTTAAAAGCTGAAATACAGGAAGCCATTCAAATATTCAAAGAGTAGTTGATATCATGGATTGAATAAAGGAAATAAATTAATGTTTAAACCTGATGAGAAAGGTGTTCCTGGTCAAAAAGCAGATCAAAATTCACTACATGTCTAGACAGTACTTTTGGAGAATAAAAGGATATACATCTCATAAATATATTCTTTCCTAACTTACTTCAATTGTATAATGCCACTTGGTCTATCTTGCCACCACCTCAGTCTCTGCTCTGTAAGTACCGTAACACATTAGATTCTCAGGAATTTCACAGGAATACTGAAGTATTTGGGGGGGCAGGGCAAGGGGAAAAGGAAAGGAAAGGCAGTAATAATGATGTGCACCCTAACATGATCCAAAACCTGTGATCTACAGGTGAAACTCAAAAAATTAGAATATCGTGCAAAAGTTCATTTATTTCAGTAAAGCAACTTAAAAGGTGAAACTAATATATGAGATAGACTCATTATATGCAAAGCAAGATAGTTCAATCATGATTTGTCATAATTGTGATGATTATGGCTTACAGCTCATGAAAACCCCAAATCCACAATCTCAGAAAATTAGATTATTACATGCAATCAATAAAACAAGGATTGTATATAGAACAATATCGGACCTCTGAAAAGTATAAGCATGCATATATACTCAGTACTTGGTTTGGGCCCCTTTTGCAGCAATTACTACCTCAATGCGGCGTGGCGTGGAAGCTATCAGCCTATGGCACTGCTGAGGAGTTATGGAAGACCAGGATGCTTCAATAGTGGCCTTCAGCTCTTCTGCATTGTTCGATCTCATGTCTCTCATCTTTCTCTTGGCAATGCTTCATAGATTCTCTGTAGGGTTCAGGTCAGGCGAGTTTGCTGGCTAATCAAGCACAGTAATCCCATGGTCATTGAACCAGGTTTTGGTGCTTTTGGCAATGTGGTCAGGTGCCAAGTCCTGCTTGAAAATGAAGTCAGCATCCTCATAAAGCTCATCTGCAGAAGGAAGCATGAAGTGCTCCAAAATCTCCTGGTAGATGGCTGCATTGACCCTGGACTTAATGAAGCACAGTGGACCAACAACAGCAGATGACATGGCTCCCCAAATCAACACAGACTGTGGAAACTTCACATTGGACTTCAAGCATCTTGCAGTGTGTGCCTCTCCATTCTTCTTCCCTATTCTGGGTCCTTGGTTTCCAAATGAGATGCAAAAGTTGCTCTCATCAGAAAAGAGGACTTTGGACCACTGAGCAACAGACCAGGTCTGTTTTTCTTTAGCCCAGGTAAGACGCTTCTGATGTTGTTTGTTGTTCAGGAGCGGCTTGACAAGAAGAATACGACATTTGAAGCCCATGTCCAGGATCCATCTGTGTGCGGTGGCTCTTGATGCACTGACTCCAGCCTCAGTCTACTCCTTGTGAAAGTCTCCAACACTTTTGAATGGCCTTTTCCTGACAATCCACTCCAGGCTGCGGTCATCCCTGCTGCTTGTGCACCTTTTTATCCCACACTTTTCCCTTCCACATAACTTTCTATTAATGTGCTTTGATACATCACTTTGGGAACATCCAACTTATTTTGCAATTACCTTTTGAGGCTTTCCCTACTTATGGAGGGTGTCAATGATAGTTTTCTGCACAACTGTCAGGTCAGCAGTCTTTTCCATGATTGTGATTCCTACTGAGACTTAGAGACCATTTAAAGGCTCAGGTACCCTTTGCAAGTGTTGTGGCTTAATTAGCTGATTAGAGTGGGACACTTTGAGCCTAGAATATTGCACCTTTTCACAATATTCTAATTTTCTGAGATTGTGGATTTGGGGTTTTCATGAGCTGTAAGCCATAATCATCACAATTATGACAAATCATGCTTGAACTATCTTGCTTTGCATGTAATGAGTCTATCTCACCTTTTAAGGTGTTTCACCTTTTAAGTTTCATTACTGAAATAAATGAACTTTTGCACGATATTCTAGTTTTTCGAGTTTCACCTGTATGTCCATGCATCTGATATCAAGATGGATGTACAAAACTCAGGGGTTTAAATCATGACTCAATGCATATTTTCTCACATTTTCCCCCAACATTGTAGTTCTAATGGACATTTTTGAGTCTGCTGCAAGCAAAAAAAGAAAATGCAACATGTGGTCTTGTTTAACACTTTACAAATGTACTACAAATCCACCCAGCACTTCAATTCCAAAATATACTTTGACTCCCTTAAAGAAAAGCAGGAGAATATGACAATATTAAGACTAGCATAAATTGGTTTTAGTCACCATCCTACTGTTTGCAAAATGGCCATAAACAATGATAGACTTCAGCTGAATACATATCAACTGGATTACTGCCTGTATTGTGTATAAATACAGATGTGTAAAAGTGTGAAAAACTCCCACTCCAAACTCACAACACTGTGCATAGAAACCACCACAAAACTATTCCAGTCAGAGCTGTAACAAAAGTCTGAATTGCTGAATTATTTACATAACATAACACTCATTTCTTCTGTGTGTCATACATTATTAAGACTGTTCATTCATTTGCTCCCCAAAAAATGAAAGGCAGGAAAAAGATTGTAACAAAATCAGAGAGAGAAATTACTGTATTTTTTCCATATTTTAGACACTCTTAAGATACAAACTCTTTTTAATGAAAGTTGGAAATCTGTGATTCCAGTTGATCCAAGTGGTGGCAATATTATTTTGCCCTCTCTTGTGGAGCAAATCAAGTTCACCTTGATTTAAAATAATTCAAAATTCCTGGAATATTAACAAAAATGTTGACTTCACACTGAACATATACTAATTTAGATGCCAGGTAGGCTTGCCCATGGGAAAGCATCCGTGCCACCATTTAGAAAGGTTTCATGTGTTGGTGCCCTTTATGCTTGGGAATAAAGTAGCACTCCTGAAATGCAAATTGATCAGATGCTAGTGATCAGCAATTTGCATTAACAGGCAGCAGGATGTATATTGCACATTAAAGGAGCAGTGATGGCCCACCCATTTTCCCCCAAAGATCCAAAAGATTTCTGCCATTTAAAAAAAAAATTGGGAATTGAATTTTAAGCCATAGAGAGAGGGAGAGGGAGAGGGAAAGGGAAGGGGGGAGAGGAGGAGAGAGAAGAAGAAAGAGGCTAGATACTGTAAACAGATAAATTGGAAAAAGGAATGGAGTTTCATCAGAAACTGAAATCCTCAAAACATTTTTTCCAAAAGTCTGGGCTAGCAATCCTAAAAGTGCATTTTATGAAATAGGTCTCCTATGGCACATTAATAAGATTCTTTGATGATGAAAGCCCTACATCTATGTAAACTTGAATAGTGCAATTAGTATAAACATCTATGGAGATTCTCAGTCATCCAGGTCATGATTTTCTCAAAGTTGCTTTTTCAAGAAGCAACTAGACTTTCTTATTTTCCTTCCACTTCTTGGATAGAAAGTGAAAACATTTCACTTCTCATCCAAAAAGCTTCTCCAGCTCTGACAGAATTTATATTCCTTGCAGACAGCTGGTAATTTGCATCCTTTTAGAGTCACTGAGGTCACTTGGAGGTTTATCTGTGTCCTCAGGGTTACCTGAGTAGTGCAAACCCCATTTGGATGGATGAATGGGCAGACAGATATTTCCACATCTTGCTTCACAGGAGTCATATTGAATAAGATTAAATATTAAAATAAGAGATACTATGCAAATTGTATATTTAATTACGCAATTGTTGAAATTAATGATAGTTTGGTCAATTCTGATTTCATTCACCCTTTATACGGGTAAATGAAATCAGAATTATCAAGATACAAGTTATAGGGGAGAAATCACTTATTATGTAGCTGTATTATTCTGATAAATATAAGCATTTCACAATGTACTAAATGCTTACCTTTCTCTGAAATTTTTTTTCTCAAATGCAGCAGTTTCTGGGAATAGTTCTTCAGAATTATGGCAGTCAAAATTAATAGGTGGTAATGAAATACCATGACCACTTTTGTCTAGAGTATGATGGACTCTAGAAACTAGCTGCAGATTTCTAGGCAACACAAATCCAGGAGAAGTGGTACATAGAAGATGAATAAGTGGGTAATCCACATCTCTGGGGGGAAAATAAAGATCATATCAACAGTTTATGTAAGTATATATTGACTATAAAGCAACTCTTCAACAATTAACATCTTAAATATATTTACTTTAAAAAAAGTCTCTTAAGACTCACTCAAGTTAAGTATACGTAAGAGAACAACCATAATTATACTCTTCATTAGAATAATCTTTCTGTACAAAACCAGAAAGACATATTTTATGTATCCACAAATCCCTAACAGATCCACTAGATTAACAATCAACCCCTTCATAAACAGCAGAGCAATATGGATACAATAGTATACCCATATATAATGATTGCTTCAATATTTCTTGGGTCACATCCATCAATTTTAAAGAATAAAATAAATAATTGTATTTATAAGGTGTGCTTCTCTCTCTCCCTTCCTCCCTCCCTTCCTCCCTCCCTCATGCTGTATGCATATACATACACACAGTATAAACCCCATTGCAGCTCTATATAAATCTTTGTCATAACAAAATAAAACAGAATCTGGCATGTTTTGGGAACAAAGATGACTAGCTTTCCTTATTCTATAAGGATAATCACATTTGGGTTTGTTATGACAAGACTGAAAACCTCCTGATATATCACAATGAACCAGTAATGAATGAAAATGAAAAAGATAGATTGCTAAATAATAGATGAGTTTTCTTAATTGAGAAACTATTCAGTGAAAGTGTTTGATGAACTATGAAACAAAGAGTATGAATCACAATAAAACCAGCTTTACTTTCTAATCTTTATGTTTTGTCTTAACTTGAGAACTACTCTGTACGTTTACAAAATATTTGTACAAGTGACTGGAATAAACATTAACATTAATGTCTAGCACATTCTGTTAGTATTTTTACATTTATCTAACTAGTTTCAGTGTCCAACATGATCTCCAAAAGCAGATTAATTTAGCAAACAAAATAGAAATACTTATAGCAAAACCTAAAATATTTAAAGCACATTATAGGCAAAGGTGTGTGTTTTTACAACACATACTCTCCTTAAGCAGTCTATTTATCATCCTTTGAAAGAAGAGACAAGAAAAACAATACTATGTGTGTGGCCTACATTAACCTCACTCAATAGGTCTTTTTCCACAAATTCATGCTTTTTCTGCACTGCTGATAATTTGACAGTGACTTTTTATTAAAGTAAAATACTCATTGTCTGCTGTCATTATTTGTTTTAATATATAATCTTGCCAACCGAATGCATTTAAAGCAATGCAGATAAGCAATGGCATGCAGAAGGTCACCTAAATGCCATTTGACTGTTTCATAAACTTTGGCATTCTTTTTCTCTCAGTCCACCTTCTGTTACTTAACTGAAAGTCATACCATTTACAAACTTCAAACCTGTCTATAAAAATCCTCTCTTCCGTGTCAAAAAAAAAACTTTAAGAGCTTGAAACACCTTTTTCTGCATCCATAAAATACTGAAACAGTAATTCAGGATACTCCACAATAAGATATTATATGGCAAAAAAGTAGAGAGTAAAACTAATGAAAAGCTCAAGATCAGGCAAATCCTATCAGTTTAATATCAAACCATATTTAGTAAGATGCATTTCTTATATTGAAAAAGAACTTATTTACAAGCAATGATGTTGTGTGTCAGCCAATATTTCTACCACAGCTATTATGAGTACATTACCCTGTTTCCCTGAAAATAAGACCTCCCCAGATAATAAGCCCAATCAGGCTATTGAGCACATGCACTAAAATAAGCCCTCCCCTGAAAATATTGCTACACAGCAGCAGCCATGAGGTGACCATGCTCACTACCTCCTGCACCTCAAAAATAATAAAATCTCCCCCAAAATAAGGCCAAGTGCTTATTTCAGGGGTCAAAAGAAAATAAGACCCTGTCTTACTTTTGGGGAAACATGGTAGCTTGCCTTAGTCAAATTCTTGTTAACAGAATAACAGAAGAAAGGAACCTTGGAGGCCTTCTAGTCCAACCCACTGCTTAGGCAGGAAACCCTACATCACTTCTGACAAATGGTTATCCAATCTCTTCTTAAAAACTTCTAGTGTTGCAGCATTCACAACTTCTGGAGGCAAGTTGTTCCACTGATTAATTGTTCTAATTGTCAGGAAATTTCTCCTTAGTTGCTTTTCTCCTTGATTAGTTTCCACCCATTGCTTCTTGTTCTGCCATCAAGTGCTTTGGATAATAGATTGACTCTCTCTTCTCTGTGGCAGCCCCTGAAATATTGGAACATTGCTATCATGTCTCCCCTAGTCCTTCTTTTCATTAAACTAGACATACCCAATTCGTGCATATGTTTTAGCCTCCAGTCCCCTAATCATCATTGTTCTTCTTCTCTGCACTTTTCTAGAGTCTCCACATCTTTTTTACGTCATGGCGATCAAAACTAGATGCAGTATTCCAAGTGTAGCCTTACCAAGGCATTATAAAGTGGTATTAACACTTCATGTGATCTTGATTCTATCCCTCTGTTTATGCAGCCTAGAACTGTGCCGGTCTTTTTGGCAGCTGCTGCCCACTACTAGCTTACATTTAAATGGTTCTCCACTAGGACTCCATTATTCTTCTCACAGTTATTACTATTGAGCAAGGTACCACATATACTATACCTGTGCATTTTGTTTTTCTTGCCTAAATGTAGAACCTTACTTTTTTCATTGAATTTCATTTTGTTAGATAGCGCCCAATGTTCAAGTCTGTCAAGATCCTTCTGTATCTTAAGCCTATCTTTTTTTTCTTTTAAAACATCATTGTAGATCTATAATCAGCCATACATTTTTGTTCATAAGTGATTTGTATCAATCTGAAGCTAATGCAAAAATAAAATCATATTATTAATTAGTAACATTACATAAAGAAATCTTAATCTCACTTGATCTTTGTAGTCCATGTAGAAAGGAGAGATACTGGTTGTTGATACTGAAGGTCTTCTACCTTTTTGTGAGTTTGAACTGGTCTAGTCTTTGGAAATGCTTTTCCTTGTATTATCAAGTCCTTGCCTGAAGATGCAAAGTCCTATCAGAAGACAATAATAAAATCAAGTTGTTTAAGAATGTGATGAAAATCTTGCTTAAAATAAATTCTTAAGATTTTCATCTGAGGTTGTTGGGTCTGCCTTTTTGTAGACTAAAAATAGTAAAAACTGGTTTATATACACACAAAGATAGATTTCAAATTGAAGCAGGCTTTAATTTAACCATAGACATACAAACTAAGATTTTATATTTCACCTTAGAAAATTAATTGTTTACTAGGAATAAACATAATTATAATTATGTAACAATTATATCATTTAATTATACAATTAAAATAATTGAACATTAAGCATTCAGAGAATTGGAGACTTGGAACCTACATTGAAGCTACTGATTCTAACATCTTGCTTTATGAAAAAGAACCACAAGAGCATCTGTCCTCTGCTTGAAGATATTTAGTAAAGATATTTGGCAGATACGGTTCTACCATTGAACTGTTCTTAATATTAAAGAAAAAATTATCTAAAAAGACAGCTGGTCTTCTGCATCTTCTGACTGCCCTATACAATCAGGCCATGCTCCAGGTCTCGTTCAGGTCCCAGTGTTATCTGATGGGACATGAGCCACGGATGTTCAGTGATTAGAATGCAGTACTGCAGGCTACTTCTGATTGCCAGCTATGCAATTTGGCAGTTCAAATCTCACCAGGCTCAAGGTTAACCCGGCCTTCCATCCTCCTGAGGTGGGTAAAATGAGGACCCAAATTGTTGGACGCAATATGCTGACTCTGTAAACTGCTTGGAGAGGGCTGTAAAGCACTGTAAAGTGATATATGTCTAAGTGCTATTGCTACTGCTATTCTCTATCACCTGGAACACCATCCCCCTGTCTGGTCTCTACTCTATGCAAGAGCTTTGAAAGCATGGCTTTCCGCAGGCTATGAAATGAGTAAGTGGTAGGTCTAGATGTCTCATTATCTTTAATGATTGCTTTCTTCTAGAATTTGGGTTTCTTAATTGTATGATAATTGTTGTTATTGTTGTACATGCTCAGAATTGTTGTAGACGGCCCATACATTTTAAAATAAAAATAACTAATTTCCTAACTTCAACTACAATCTGCCTTCCTATAACATAAATCCATGATTTCATCCCATCTTCTCTAGGGGTTAAAGAACATCTCAATTGTCTGTGTGTCAACCCCAGTAATGCACACAGTACTTGAGATTGAATCTATCAGGCAGTATAAAATAGATGCTTCTGTTGATATCGCCTAAAATTGCTTTTGCCTTTTTACAACCATATCACCTTCCTAACTCATAATGTTCAATCAGGAAGAAACATCTTCAATTCTGCAAACTTTACCAGCTTTTAAGGGCCATTTATAATTTCAACAGCATGTAATTGTGTTTTCTAGCTATATAGTTTAATTTTTTTTACCAAATCCTTCACTAAAGGCTCCTAAATAATGGGATAAGAGATCAGCTCTTCTAAGAGAAAAAGGAAACTGAAATGAGAAACTATTCCAGAGCCTCCCTAGGCTCCTTTTAGTTTGCTTAAATCCCTTTGGCAATTATATTCCAGGATCTGAGAAGCCAGGTTCTCCTGCCCCTTCTAGAAAGGCAAAGCCATGGAAAGACAAAAATATTTCACATACTGCTAGTAAGCACTCCCAATGTTTGCTATGCACCAGAATTCCCCATGAATAGACTATTTTTCCCTTCACTCAGGGACATAGTTGGATGCTTACTCAGACTTCCTGAATCATTCTTGGTCCTCGGTGTCATACTGTGGATTAAGCCATAGTGTATGGACCAAGCAGGGCCTTCAATGATTCAACAGGAAATAAAAATGATTGTTCTTACTTCTGATTTTTCTTCACTAGAGACATCCAGCAAACTTTTAGACTTTTCAGCAATTGATTCTGTCACTTCAGCCTCTGAAAATAAATCATATTCACTTCCATGTATGCTTTGTTGATCTGGCGAAACTGTTTTAACAGTATAATCTGATTCTTTTGTAGCAGTTTGAATTACTATATCTGGAACCTGAGGGAGAATGTTGGGCAAGATATTAGTTTTATTCCAGTGAAATTTACAAACTGTTTTTAATTGAGCTAATTTTTTAACAATCCAAATGCAACTCTACAATGAAGTCAATTAGTAAGAACTATAAAGATATGCCTTAAAATTGGAACATCTTATGGCTTTCAGATAAATTATTTTCAAAAGCTAAAATTTGGTACTCTTGTAACTTGCGTTGGGAAAGCATAGACCTGGTACTATTATCTGAAATCCAACCATGGCAATTGGTCATAAGATAATTGTAGCTTAATGGTAACATAAATGTAATTCCTATCAGTTTTTATTCCAACGTCTTCTCTTTTATCTATTGAGCAATTAAATCATGCCATCAAGATGCCTCTATTGGTTATTAATGTCACCACACTCATAATTCCTCTAGACTGGCACATGCTTTGCAGTCATTTTCTAAAAACAATTTTTGATCCCCAACTGAAACATATACAATATTTCCTGATTAAACCTAGATCGTGTTCAATATCCTGCTCATTATCTTGTAGGTATTTACAATTTTGAAGTTGTCTCCTCTATTAATAATCTTTTGCACCTCAGTCAAAATGATGCTAGAGTTCCTAACCAACCTTCACTCTCTTCCGTACATTGTTGCTTAAGAATAAAACTTTTAATTTGTGAAATTATGAGTTGCTAAAGAAAGAAAAGTTTAAAGAACCTTCAAAGATTTTTTTTTCATAGAAATAATTGTGTTTCAACCAAATATGATCCAAAAGCTGATCCTGCAGCACCTAGGCAGCTTGGCTAATTTTGGAAAGCTACCATATTTTTCAGATTACAAAACACATCTGACTATAAGATGCACCTAAATTTAGAAGAGGAAAATTTAGAAGAGGATTTTGGGCTCTGTGCGCCTCATTTTCAACCCTTTTCCAACCTTTTTTCTACCCATTTTCAAGGCTCTTTTTTGGGCCTGTTTTTGGGGCTTTGTCCAACATATTTTTGAGGCTTTTTGGTCCATTTTTTGGGAAAAACAGGCTGTTAAAGCCTCTCAAAATGGACTGAAAAAAGCCTCCAAAACGGACCAAGAAAAGCCAAAACAATGGGCCAAAAAAGCCTCCAAAAAGTGCCAAAAAAGGGCCTGAAAAAGGGGCATGTGGAGGCAAAAAAATGGCCAGTGGGTAGGCGGGGCTTCAGCAATATTTGGTCTATAAGATGCACAGCCATTTTTACCCCCTTTTGGGAGACAAAAAAATTGTGTCTTACAGTCCAAAAATATGGTAAGTAGGCTAAACTTGGTTGGGATAGGAAACAAGATGGAAATCATACTCAGTAGGCTAGACAGAAAAGTCAAGAAAAATATTTGCAAATCAAACAGGGACAAACAACTCCCATATTGTTTTCAGAAAACTATATTTGCATATCCATGAAATTGCCAGGAGTTAAGCCCAACTTGAAGAACTTCCCTTATTGCAGTTTGTTTTTTACTCACACTTTGGGCCAATTAAAGAAAATGTGTATGGAGAATTACATAGTGGGGGAAAATATTTTGTGAGGTTTGGGAAAAACTAAAAATAATTTGAGAAAACTGCTAGCATGTAAGCAATGGCATATACTTTCCTTACAACAGTACTACATGGGTGTCCTGATTTACACTGGATCATCCACAGGGACTCCATCTTAAAAGCACTCATGCTGTGAAATTCATACACTCACTAAAATGCATGCAAATACAGGCAGTATTTGCATATCTACTTTGGCCCAGTATTCCACAATTGTGTCACATGTATTGATTGGAGAGATGAAGCAATGGACAATTTCTAAAAATACAATGACAGAAACCTGGGGCTGCCAAAGTGACTTATTCATGTTTTTAATTCATCTTGTATGGGGAACACTCAGTCACTGTTACTCAGTATAAACGAAAAATGTCTACACATGTCTAGTCTATACAGGATATTTTTTTTCATAAAATGTCTGAGGTCTCCAATCAATAATGTCTTTAGTTTGCCCAACCAATGCAGAGACTATTTGAAGACCTATCTTCTCTCATTATTTACAAACTATTGAATATTTCCTCATTCTGTTCTAAAACTACCATAGTCCTGGTTGCCCTAACTTTCCCTCCCTCCTCCCTGTGTCTATTGAAGGAAAATTCTGGCTACTGGGGGAAAACCTGAAATCACATGAAGGGAAAACACTTATGTTATAAAGTAAGTTACCCAACAAAGCAGCTTGAAAGAAAAAATCAGCAACAGCAAAATGAGAATAAGATGAATTAACCTCAATTCTAGCAATGTATTCTCTCACTTCAGAGGGTTGCACCTGTGGACTGTAGGACTTTAACTGGGAGCTTTCAGGTATGTCCTGAAAAATATGTAATATTTTTACAAGAATAAGCCATCATAATACAATCCAATATCCAATAAATCAAAACTGAAAACTCTACATATTCTTGATGATTAACTGAAGCATAGAATCCTAAATAAATTGGCAGCTGTTACAGAAGAAAGTAGCAATGAATTATGGATAAACTCTAAACAATAACATTTATTTCCTGTCCCTGATGCATTTTGAGGATGCCAAGAAACAGGTGAAGCTCAACAGTGTGTGTGTGTGTGTGTGTGTGTGTGTGCATGTGTGTGTGTGTGTGTGTGTGAGAGAGAGAGAGAGAGAGAGAGAGAGAGAGAGAGAGAGAGAGAGAGAAATACATGTTTACCAGAGATGCTCAGCTATGATTACTGTATGATGATTAGATAATTAAAATAATTAGATTAAATAATAATTAAGATAATTAAATTCAAATAATTGTGATTAATTTGATGTCTGATGTTTTCATTCATAATCACAACTATTTAAGGATAAGACGTTAAAAACAAAAGATAAAAAGAACCATAGACACTTTTTCCAATAAGGAAATTGCAAATGTATAAATAGCAATGTACTAAAAAAAAGCTTTTTTTCATTTTTCAGTAGATCCAAATTTTGAACTTGCTGTTTACAGACAATACTTATATCCTATACCCTAATGCAGGGAGTTTTGAGCAGTGGTTTCTACACTGTTGTCTTAAATTACTACACCAAACTGAATTTTGCTTTCGGTTATTTTTAACTGTCTGGCACTACTCTGAATGTGTTATTTATATGAAATATTAATACAATCCATAAAAACAGATAAATCAATAAAACCAAATTAAATAAACAAATTAAAGCTTACAATTTAAACATGTACCACTTACAGCAAGGCAGTGAAAGGACAAAAAGCACTAAGTTGGGGGTCAGAGGCCCCAGACAGTGACTTAACAACCATATTAACACGAAACTATAACATTCACCTACAAAAAAAACCTTACAAACAGCAGAATCAGAATCAAGAAAGAGAAGACAGAGAAATGTGATATACATGTATGTATATTTCACCTCATCAGCAACTACATTATGTATTTCACCTCATCAGCAACTTCCTCTTCTTGCTGTACTTTTAAATTTTAACTATAACAGAAGAATGTAGAAATGTGCTATGCACATACAATGTTATGCATTGTCATTTCATTTCCAGGGGTTTCTAAAAGAATATTCTGAAAACTGCCACTAATAAAAATAAAGATAATTATACTTTATAGCAACTTTGTTGCTGCAACTTTACATAAGTCACTTTTCATCTAAATAATTCAATGAAATTAATGAAATTTTTAAGACAGTGAGGAAAAGAAAGCAGAATCTATTTCAGATGAGGAATTTTTTTTAAAAAATTATTCTCAAACATGTAAAACACACAATTTTATTAACGGATGCATAGAAGAATATCAAAAACAGGCTTCATTATGGAAGTTCTCTGTAAATCTGACAGATCTTATAACTTTACAATAAATAACAAACTGGCACCTTTCAAATGTTTTGGGCTTCAACTCAGGCCAGCCTAAATCAGGCTGTAATCATTTTAATCCAAAATATGAGATGGAACCAAGACAAAAGCATTGCTAAAACTAAGCCATTCAGCAACTCAGAACCAGTAAATGGACCAATTTCCTATTCATATATATTTTTGTATAAAAAATATTCCACTCAGGTATTCAGAAGTTAAGAAATAGGTGTCTTTCTTTGAAAGAAGCTCCAATATACCTACTTGCTCTGATTCTTCTAGTATCTGTTTTATACCTTGGTATACAGATGGAGATACAAATCGATCCTTTCTAATGTGAGATGACTTCTTCAAATTAAAAAAATAAAAATAAATTAGTACTAGTATAAGTATCTTACATTTCAATATGTTTTAGTCAGAGGTGGTATTCAGCCAGTTCTGACAGGTTCTGGAGAACTAGTAGTGGAAATTTTGAGTAGTTCAGAGAATTGGCAAATAAGCTGGCCCCACCCCCACTGCCTCCCAACTGATCTTTTGTCACCCTGAACAGGAGAACAGAACTGGAAAGCAGGTTAGTGGGGTGGGGAGGGAATGGGGATTTTGCAGTAACCTTCCTCTGCCATGCCCACAAAACCACACCCACAAAGCAATGCCACACCTACCAAGCCATGCCCACAGAACCAATAGTAAAAATTTTGAATCTCGCCACTGGTTTCAGTCCTATAAAAGGGATGTAGGTATTATTTATTACATGTACACCCTGCCACAATGCTGCAGGGCTCTCAGCAATTTTCAGGAAAAGAAAAACCTCTACAACATTTACAGTTGGATTAAAATAATAGAGTACAAGGAGTACAAGGCGCACCTTTTTCCCTCAAAAAAGAGGCTGAAAATCTGGGTGCATCTTATACACTGAATACGGCATTTTTTGCCTCCTGAAATCCCGCCCCCTTCACCAAAATGGCCATGCATAGCGTTTAGGAGACCTCCTGGAGGCTGGGGGGGGGGGTTGAGCAAGAAGAGGCTATAAGCCTCCTAATGGCTATCCATTTTTTGACAGAAAACGGGCCCATTTTTTGCTCATCCCCCCCAAGAGCGTTCTACAAGCCTCCTAAGGGCTATTTGGAGTGGTCTTTAAAGATGCACAATGGATTGTGACAAAGACACGTGTCACTGAGCTATGTGATGTAACACCTGAAGCTGAGCAAAGGACCCCTGGCCCACCTTTCCCCTAGCAGAAGCCATAACTTTGAATCTGTACCTTAAATGATATATACTGAATCCCCAACTCTTACTTATAGCTGCCCAAGTCCAAATAAAAAAGTTCAATCCACTAGCTAAAGCACTAGCATCACAGGATGTCCCTCTCAAACCACATCTAATTAGTTGAGACTTCACAATTCAAGGTCTTGAATTACTTGGTGCAAAGCCTCTTGTAAATTTCGTGATACTGGAATGTCCCATGATCTGCTTCCTACTTATAGGCAGCTCTTAGTCCTGACTTTCCCACCTTCTGTTTGCTCACTGCAATGTCAATCCAGCCATTGTGGCATCCTCCATCACAGAAGATTTCCCCTCTTAGAAGAACTCAAGTCCTTTGACATGTACATATAATAAATGTTACATAATATAGTATTTTATTATAGTTACATGCATTTAGAAATACTAACGCTGGTTAGGAATGAATATAATCACTCACTCTATAGAATTGGAGCTCTTTACTATGGCACTTATACTTCAGAAATCTCTGAAATTTCCAGAGAAGTCAATGTAACTGCAAATTGGGGAGAAGGAATTCATCTTACCATTCCATGTTGAAATGAATGAACAATTCATAAAAACCTAAATAAATATACTGATGCAGGTTCTATTATGGCACTCCTTATATCACTATCAGAGGAAAACTTATAATCTTTCTACAATATCATGTTGAACCTTACCAATTTCATACTGTCACTTTCCACTGTTGCCATTCGTACAGCTGATAATTCCAGTTCGTTTGCCTGCTTTAGTTTAAAAGAAAATAATACAAATATTAGAAAGCACAAATTCATGTATTATATTTAAACTGCACTTGAGGCAGTTGCTAATATAAATATTATGAAATATTTATAAATATTACTTATAATATGAAATACAATATAGTCATAAAACTGCAGGATTTCCTTAATTGGCAATGTATAGTAAGCAAATAATAAATAAATGATTTAGAAATGATTCTCACAGTTTTGTTCTTCCTAAATACTAATTTTCTCGTTCTTTCATCACCATCAAGCAGCCATAATTTTCAATTTATTTGTTATATGGACACTTAAATAGACATAAACCATGAATTTGAAACAATAAGCTCTTAGTAAGTACTAAGTAATCGTTATTCTCAGTCATTCTTGAGTTTCCAAAGGATGCAATCACTTTTTCTAAACTTATTTCTCTAATTGCCACCAATTATTCATGATTTCTAATAACATCTTCTACTAGATCACATTCATTGTTGGGCGAGAAAGACTAATTTTAAGTAGGAAAGCTCATGAAAACCAAAGAATGTCGTTTAATTAATACTTAAATCAAAGTTAGTTCATCATAGAGCCGAGGTGGCACAGTGGTTAGAGTGCAGTACTGCAGGCACTTCAGCTGACTGTTAACTGCAGTTCGGCGGTTCAAATCTCACCGGCTCAAGGTTGACTCAGCCTTCCATCCTTCCAAGGTGGGTAAAATGAGGACCCAGACTGTGGAGCAATATGCTGACTCTGTAAACCACTTAGAGAGGGCTGAAAGCCCTATGAAGCGGTATATAAGTCTAACTGCTATTGCTATAAGAAAAGGAATGAAATTGATACATACATTACAAACAGCACAAATAATAGTTAATGGGAAATTGGCAAAATTCCGTGGAATACAAAAAAGAGGTATGTCAAGGATGCCCAATTTTGCCACTACAGTAAATTTTTGTTATTGAAGTTTTGAATAGAGACAGACCACAAGATGAAAGAAGAACTATGGTGAAACTTAAATGAGAAGTGCATTAATTAAGGACATTTGTGGATGATATGTTTTAATTTTGGAAAATCCTATAGAAAAAATTAGATATATTAATGGAAAAGTTGAAGGAATTTGGTACATTGCTGGATTTAAAATTAAACAAGGAAAAAACAAAGATGTTAACAAAAAATATAAGAATGGAAAAAACTGGTTTTCAGAATAAAAAAGTAAACTACATGGACACATAATAAACAAATATAAAAAGTATATCATTTTAAAATAATTATGTCAAATTGTGAAATGAAATTAAACACTTAATAAGATGAGAAAAGTTACAATTATCATGGTTTGTAAGAATTTCCATAGTGAAAATATATATACTATCAAGGATGATTTTTAAAAAAATAATACCTACGGTATTTTGAAAAAGGATGCACTTTTAAGCAATGATAAACAGATATATCTAGATTTATATCTAGAGTGGAGATAAATCAACAAGTATAAAATTCAGCAAGATGCAAAGAAAAGAGGAAGATTAGGATTGCCAGATTTCAAACTGCATTTTGCAGCCTTTTTGAATGAAAGAGTGGATGTTGCTGAGAAACAATGGAACATTAGAGTTAGAAAAACAAACCTAAAGTTTGGTAGGCATGGCTTCTATAGTACAATAAAGTTAAAGTTAATATAGATTTTAAAAATCATTATGTGCAAAGTGCCATATTAAGGATATGGAATAAATACAAGCCCCCAAATACCTTTACTGATTTGGTTTGAGCAAATCAGCTGATACTGGTACAGCTGTACCAGTATCAATCCACCCAAAATATAAAACCAATTTCAGGTATCAGTCTCAGAAAGAACAGAGCATTTGCAGCAGTATCTCTGTATCTGTATAATTCCTTCTTCCAGTACAATAATAATAATACAGGTAGTCCTCGACCTACAACCACAATTGAGCCCAAAGTTTTGTTGCTAAGTGAAACATTTGTTAAGTGAATTTTGCCCCATTTTATAACTTTTCGTGCCACAGTTGTTAAGTGAATCAGTTGTTAATGATGTGATTGTTAAAATGAATCTGGCTTCTCCATTGACTTTGCTTGTAAGGTCACAAAAGGTTATCACATGACCCCTGGACACTGTAACAATCATACTTATGAGTCAGTTGCCAAGCATCTGAATTTTGATCATGTGACTATGGGAATGCTGCAACAGTCATAAGTAACGTTTTTCAGTGTCATTGTAACTTTGTAATTTTGAACAGTCACTAAATGAACTGTAAGTTGAGAACTACCTGTAAAGTCTAAACATATGATTGACTATGCCATGAACCATACTATTTTTTAAAAAAAAACCAGGGAAGGACAAAGGAAGGAAAGAATAGAGAGGAGAGAAGGAAGAAAGGGAGGGAGGGAGGAAAGGAGAAAGGGGAAAGGAGGGAGGGAGAAGAGAGGCGGGGAGGGAGAGACCAAGGAAAAGGGAAACGGAGAGGGATGATCCACTCACCAGTCTGCCTGGAAGTGAAGGAGAGAGAGGGGAAGGAAGGAAGGAAAGAAGGAACAAGAAAGAAGGGAGGGAAGGTGGGAAGGAGAATTTCTGATGTTCATTGCTACAAGGAAATCCAATGCCGAAGCTGACAGAAAGATTGAAGTTACTCCCATGCCCATTGATTTTTTGCCCAACCATAGTTATTTTGTTTCTCTTTTTAGATAGGGAAATACCTTTGAAACTATGATCCAATGGACCATGGGTTGACTAGTCTTTATCACATTATTTAATAATCAGTTCAACAATTCAAGAACATCTCTATTAAAAATGGATTGGTCATTGTCAATAAATTGTCACCATCTTTACTTTCTGCTGTTCATTCTTCTATGACCTCACCATCTACAATTCTCCTAGACAGCTAAGTGGGAATAGACATCCACATAAATAAGTCATCAAAGATCTCCATGAATCTAAAGAAATGAAAACACATCTCAAAGCTTAAACCATAATATATTTGTTAGATTATAAGATGCAACCAAAAAAATTAATTTTTAAAACTGCTGATTTGATTGATCATAGAGCAATACAATGAAGTTGTAAGTAAAGTAAACACATTGTACATGTGTTCATATATCACACAGAACTATAATTTGATTTGGTTTTAATTTAGCATTCATTATCTTTTGTTTGTATTTACCATATTTTTCGGAGTATAAGACGCTCCAAAGTATAAGACACACTTAGCTTTTGGGAAGGAAAACAAATGGAAAAAAATCTGCCTCTCCCTCCCAGCAATTTGCCTCTTTGCACCAAATAGTAAACAGTACAGAAGATATACACAGTTTGTGGTGTTACATTTCAGACTTTACTTGTACAGATGCTGTTAAAATTGATGTGGCTTTCTGGAAGTATACATTATTCTCTGCTATTTAAAAGAAGATACAATAGCACTGGGCCTCTTAAGATCAAGCATTTATTTGAAAAAGTTTCTTCATTTTGTTGTCTAGAACAATAATAAAGCAGTCTTTAAAAAATATGTCTAATAATTTGAACATTCTACAGACATTTATAGTTATTGACTTACCTCCTTGCAGCAAACAGCCTGTTTCAGTTTAGCCTGATTAGAAGAAAAAAGAATCTGTCTCTGCCTCCTTCCAGCAAACACTGGAAGGAGGCAAGCACTGGGATCCCGATCATCAGCTGTTTCAGGTTGCAGGGATTGCCATAGTCTTTTGCTGCCTCCACAAGCCCCATTTTCTCCATTTGCTGCAAGGGAGGCAGAGGCCAAAGGGTGGGGGCCGGTGAGTGGGTGGGCTACATTCGGTTTATAAGACGCACTCAAATTTTCATCCTCTTTTAGGGGGGGAACTGTGTCTTATACTCTGAAAAATATGGTATTTTAGTATATTTTGATTTGAAAAAATAATACTTTGCCTACATAGATCACCAACCTATTCATACATCTCTTTAAGAATCCTTACAAAGGAGAATCCATTTAACTGTGATCAATGTTACTTTTAACTAACAACTACCAGAAAGGAAGTAATAGCAAATGTTATTAATATATTATAGTTTTCAAAATGTTATAATACATTATTTTTGAAGCCTCAAAAGTGCTTTTCTCAAGGAAAAAAAAACACTTTTTTCTTGGTTTTCCTTTGAAAACATTGTCAAAGAAAAAAATCAAGGAATCTAGTTGCCTTTGGAAAAAAGCAGCTTTGGGACAACAGACAGTATTTTTAAAGGTAGATAATCTTACTAACCCAAGCTTCTTTAACTCATTCTAGTTTACTTACTTGAATGTTGATGAGATAATCTTGGCCAAGAATACTCTCCAAAAGTTCTTTGATCTTTAGGTCTGACGCAGTTGGAACTGTAGACTTTAAAGATTCGATTATTTCATCAATAGATCGTGAAATAATTCCAGAAGGCAACTTTGAAACGGATAAGTGTGCCTTGCTGAATGAAGATTTCAAACGTGATTTTGAAATACCTATTCTACTTTCAGATGTGGTTTCTTCCAGATATGCTGGAGAAAATTTAATACTAGATGAAGTACTGGTTTTTGTACTGTAAGATCTTTCTAAGTGACTGGGTATATTTGATTCTGAGGTTTCTTTAGGAATGCTCGTAGATTTTTCACTTACACTGGAAATTATAGAACAGGAATCATCAAAGTCTGCAGTGTTGGTCCCTACTGTGGGAAGGATTATATGTTGAGATAATATTTTTTGTTCAAGTTGTTTAACATTAGCAATGCTATATTTTGACTGATCTTTAAACTGTAATTTTGCACAAGGCACCTTTGGAGATTTTGGTTTCAGTGGTCCTGGTTTTTTCAATATGGTCATCTGCTTGGTGGTTCCTACGAAAGAGGCTATTAATACTGGCAATTTTTCACCTTCATCTCCTGGGCTCTCACTTTTATGTTCTGAAACGGCTTTTCCAGTATGAAAAGCCTTTTTTTTACCATCAGTATGATTCTGCTTCTTAGAAGATTTCTTTGACTGACTTGCAGTATCTTCAGTCTTGATTGTTTCTTCTTCATCACAAGAAATCCTTACTTTTTTCTGGATTTTAGAAGTATCCCACTCAGAAAAAAGTTGTTTGATTTCAGTACATAGAAAGGGACTTCTAGTTTTAGAAGGTTTCTGAAATGACTGACCTGATGGTGTATCTTCCTGTAAAGCTTTGTTTATATTTCCATGGTCAGAAGCATATTCTTGTTTAAATTTCAAAAAATCCTGCCTAGTTTCTTTGCATATATTTTCACGCTCCTTAACTATCTTCAATTCTTCCAAATAGTTTAATCCAAAATGTTCATGTTTTCTAGCCATTCTTAAAGTCTGTGGAAATAAACATAATTTTTGCTAACAGAAAACTGAACAGGAATATCTAAACAATGTGGAAAGGTTCTACTTTAACTTAGTAAATTAAGATACTTGTGTGAATTTATTAGCCTCTCTACAAATGACTTTAGATATCTTGGACACCATACTAAGATGAAAACCAAATAATCAGAAATATAATGATCATAGTGTGACATCTGACATTATATCATTCAATTTTCTCCTTTCCCAAATGTTATATCTGGCATACATACGTCAATTAAACTATATCATTGACTAATAGGTGTATAAAATACTTAATCCAATTCTACATACAGGTAGTCCTCTACTTATGACTGAGCCCAAAATTTAAGTTGCTAAGTGACACCGTTGTTAAATAAATTTTGCCCCATTTTACAATCTTTCTTGCCACATTGTTAAATGAATCACTGCAGTTATTAAGTTAGTAACTTAATAACTGGGGATGCTATGATAGTTGTAAGTGTGAAAAATGACCATAAATGACTTTTTTCAGAGCCATTGTCACTTCAAATGATCACTAAATGAACTGTTGTAAGTGGAGAACTACCTACATATGGTCATTTGCAGGCCTCCCCTTCAATTTAGAGAAGATTTGCTACCAACCTCATTTGACCAAATAGATGTCACTAGGTTAGTTAGTGAACTGCAGACCTGCAGTTCAATTCTACACTTTTTCAACTTTTCTGCTCATCGGGATGGTCCACATAGTTCAGCAGATCTCATCCTAGGTACGCTCCGCTCCGCTAGATCTGCAGCTGTAACAGCATCTGCTTTTCAATTTGAATAACAGTACATAACAATATTACATCCTAAGAATGTATTTTGTTCCTCGGGAAAGTGAGAGGATTCTTCTGTCCTAGGAGCTTACTGCAGCTTTTACAAATGCTTGTATCAAAAAAGAACATTTCTACTTTTTAAAGTCTGCTGCCCAATTAACAGGGAGAAACTTTGTTTTACACCAGCCCTCCTTCAAACAGTTCCTAACTGTTCAATGGTTATTAAACAAGACAGTTCTAAATCACATGATAATCTTCCCCCA